GCTGGTCTGCTTTGGAGGGTCCACGACTGATTGTCTCACATTCCTGACTCTCTGATCGGAATGCCTGGGCGGCTGACCTGGCTGGTTCCTCTTCTCCAAGTAGTTTCATGGCATGTACATCTGATCTTTCTGGCAGAAAAGATAGCATAGCTTCCCTTCCATTGTACTCTGCTAGGTGGCTCCGAATCAAGGGGAGGGAACTGGAGCTCATTTCCCTACTGGAGGAGGGTCAAAGAATTCGCAGCCCTTCCACCCACAAGAGAGGGCCATTAGGCACACACGACTCGGATGCCCTCTGCCGGAAAGCAGGGGGTGAGGGCAACCTCTTTATATTCCGAGAGGTATCTGGCATGGAAACATCTGGGCTTACTGATTCAGAATCCCAACTATCCTGATAGGATGGGGCAGTGGTCCTGTGGTAATATATATTACACGGCTTAGGTTAATCATTTTTAGTGCAATCCCCAGTGTTAGAGTGTTGGATGGTTTCCATTTTGATCCCAAACAATGTTTCTCTTTTAATGGCAGAGGCAGAGAGACCACTGTATTCTTGTGAAACATTCTTCAGTGGGCCCTTAGTTCTTTCATTTTAAGCTTCTTAGAAAATAATGGGACTGACCTAAGAACTCCCACGACAGCGTGACTGGCACTCTGGACGCTGTCCCTAACGCCCCCGGTAACTGTGCAGGCTCCATCTGCTAGCCTGACGTTCTCGACAATGGGAACATCAGCTCACAGAGGTTTCAGAACCAGTTCAAGGTTACAGAAAAATTGGCAAGTTTGTAATTTTGAACCAATGCCTATTTGGCTCCGAAACCTCTTTCCACTACCACATGTGATCGCTGGAAAACCAGAAAGCCTTCCGAAACACCCCTAGAGTACAGTTTGAGGAATCGCAGAGCCAGCCAGTCTGCCTTGAGCAGCCAGGAGGAGACCCACAGCTTAGCATTGTACTCCCGGTGGCCCAGTCAAGTCGACGTAAAATCAGCCATCACAACCCGCTGCGCCCGAAGCATCCTCTCAACAGCCTCCGGGGACCCATTTCTCCAGGTATGACATCCCTTGCAGTTGTAGAGGCTCCAGTTGGCTGCAAAGCCAACCGAATGAAGCCCATTTCATTTTAATGTTCCCTGGAGGACCGGAGACAGAAGTGTTCTCTGGAAACCACGCCAACACAAAATAACTGAGCCGTCACTGTCAAGAGTGGGACGTTCATGTCCCCATCTAAGCTCCTTGAGAATTTAGGGTTGGTCTTGCCATCTCTGTGCTGGAGAAGTGGTCCACCACGTCAGGGAGAAACTGTCCCCAGTGTGGAGCCCAATAATAGAGCTCTCTGTTTGGTGAAAACGGAAGCCAAAGAAGGGACTTCAGGAAATTGAAGGAAAAATCGGCACTCACGAGGGGCCAGGGAATGCTTGTGCACACCCTCCCGTGCACAATAACCTGGTACCATCTTCTCAAGCCGAAGGAGGCAGGGGGAAGCCCACAAAAACATCCAGCAAGGACCGAGACCCAGGGCTCCCCATTCTTCCCACCCAGCAAGGATCAGGCACAGCCCTCGCCCCACCCCCGATCCATAAGGGCACTTGAGGTGTTCATGCAGCCCTGAGGAACCTTTTCTCTTTTTTCACCTCACTCTTAGCCTCTCTCTTCATGAAGTCTTTCTGATTCCATGAAGCCTGGTTCACAGCACGCCCATAGCTTCCATCTGCGCATGTGCGCTGGGCACAGGGAGCAGGGCTAAGGAAAGCCACGATTTCCCAGGAGCCATCATGTTGGAAGAATTTAGTCTCGTGATCAGGATCACATTCACTTTGTGGGGTTTTTATCTACTGCCTACCTCGCCATGGTAAATACACCAAACATGTATTTCACCATTTTTGTTTGTCAAAGATGATGCAGTTACCCAGGGGGACCTATTACCCTGCTGGCCATTTAATGATGTTTCCAGTGCGAAAATTGCTTCTCAACTCTTTCTCTTCATACCAACATGAGGACAGCTTTTTAATATACTGCACTATTATTTGATATTATATCCAAAACAGCTGTTTCTAATTTTCTAATACACAAGAAAGAATGGATGATTTTCAAAGACATTCTTACTAAAATTGACTCAGATTATTTTAAAAATGCAATTTGTGGAAGAAATTGACAGGGCTGCCATGGACTACTTAGTCTTAGATCACTCAACAAGTTACTAATTTTAAACCTTTGAGAAAGAAATGTTCTTTTGGTGACTTAACTTATCCAGAGCATAAGGGGAAAATGTCCCCCATTTAGTGTATGAAGCCAACACTCCCTTGGTGTCCAAACTTTACAGAGCTCATGCATATCACACACACAACACGAAAGTGCCATCCACCCCCTCATATACACAACACATCACAACATCACACACACATTCCATGCTCTACATAAATACAGATTTGTCTGCACACATACATAATCCACACAACACCATACTTTTGTGGGGTTCTTTGAGAGCTAAAATGAGAAATTGTGTGTGTGTGTGTGTGTGTGTGTGTTTTGTGTTTTGCAAAGGTATGTGAACCACCTTTTTATGCAAAGGAATTCAAATCTTACAACATCCTCCACTCAGAAAAAAACTTTTGCTTACACAAAGAACTTGATGGTGGAGATCAGTGGTTGTGACCCCTCTGGGGTTAGAATGGCCTTTCACAGGGGTCACCTAAGACCATCAGAAAACACAGACATTTTCATTATGATTCATAACAGTAACAAAACTACAGTGATGACATAGTAAGGAAAATGGTTTCATGGCTGGGGGTTACCACAACATGAAGAACTAACTGTATTAAAGGGTCACTGTAGGCAGGCTGTTCTGTCCCACCAGCCGTTCCCCAAATAACCACACAGAGACTTACTAGTAAGTATAAATGCTCAGCCAACAGATTAGGTTTGCTTTTAGCTAGCTCTTATAACTTATATTAACCCATTTCTGTTCATCTACGCACTGCCCCAAGGCTTGTTTATCTCATGTACATACTCCCCATCCTGCCTGCTCTGCGTCTCATGGCATGTCTTCTCATTCTGCTCTTCTCACCATCATCCTCTCTGCCCCCAAAATCCTGCCTAGCTATGAAAGCAACACGTCTTCACAGTGTACAGGACTATTCCGCAGCGGATTGTGCAAGGCATTAGGAAGGTTGAGGACCACTGGCCTAGAGCAGCCTACTTCATTTCCTTTCCTTCATTTTCTTGGCTCCGATTCTTTTAAAACTAGCCTGTCTCAAAAGACTGTGACATTGCACCCAGGCAACAGGGGGAAAGACACCATTACCACCTGTGTTGGAAAACGAAAGCAAAGTGGACTTCCTGATCCTGAGTGCTTTGCTAGCTTGGCTGGGGTCATGGGGAGCCGTTTTCACAAAAAGAAGTTGCCTGTTTGAGTTACCTTTATTTCGCACGACATTGAGAACATTCGTTTACAGCACCATGGAGCCTTTTTCAGCTCTTAGTGGGTCTAGGTGTCAAAAAATTCAGTGGCCACCAAAGCTGTTCTGAACAGGCAGCTTGTGATCATGAAGAATGACGAGCAGGAACAGTAGGAGGTCAAGTAAGCAGGTTTGTTGAGCAGTATGGAAACAACTCCCTGCAGCAGGGAGTCGCCACTGGAGATCCAAGGTTCTCTTCTGTGTTCAGAGTGAGTCTGACGGGCTCATACCATGTATAAAGAAGACACTGATTTTGGGATGAACCTTATTCGATAGTTTGAACTTGTGTGGGGAATATGGATTGGTTGCTGGGTAGGCTGGGTGAAAGGGCACAGGCTTGGGGTAGCTTGCCTGCTGAGGGAGGGAAGAAAAAGCCCATTGAAAAGTTCTGAAGGGAGGAATGAAGGTGAGGGTGTAATGACTTCGCTACACCCAAGATAAATGATAAATGTGTGTTTATTGGGCAACACTTAACACAGAAAAATACAAGGAACCGGGGAGTGTTTCTCTGCCCTTCCTACTGCATCGGCTTGACCCAAGAGAGAGACCGCACAAAAAGGAGTCATGCCTCAAGCTTTGCTCTTTCCACTTCCGACCGCCTGAAGCCACGCCCAGGTGTGGCCACCATTACAGGCAAAACCAGCTATAGAAGAAGACCCTGGAAGTAAAAAGAACAAAGGGCTGGGTCAGCCCACATCCTGTTCCCAAGCTGATCAACTGGGTAGTTTAGTATAAACCTCGGGGCTTTGGGAGCTGACTATGGGATCTGCCAGGATATACAGATGTTTTGTTTTTCATGGGCCTGTAACCCTAAATGCCTACAAAAGTAGCTAGCTGCCTTGCTCCTAATGCTTTTCCATACTACAGACACTCACCATCCATACACCAGATAAACTAACTATGGAGGTTTGAATAAGAATGGCCCCCATAGGTTCATAGATTAGGGAGTGGCACTATTTGGACCAATTAGGATGTGTGGCCTTGTTGGAGGAAGTATGTCACTGGGTGTGGGCTTTGAGGCTTCAAAAGCCTAAGCTAGGCCCAATGACTCACTCTGCCTGCTCCATGTCTGCCTGCATGTTGCCATGCCTCCTGCCAAGATGATAATGGCCTAAACTTCGGAAACTGTAAGCCAGCCCCAATTAAATGTTTTCCTTTATAAGAATGCTGTGGTCATGGTGTCTCTTTACGGCAATAGAACATTGACTTTGACACATACCTCATGCATTGCATAAATTTGAACATACCCATACACAGCCTACATGTCTAAAAAACAGAGTAATCTTGTTTTTAAACATAATGTAAAAAAAATCTAGTTAAACTATTAACAAATAGAATCCAGTAATCCACTGTGACAGAGTGGGACTCATTCCAGGCTGATTCAATTTTAGAAAATCTATTAGTATAATTCACTGTCTGAGTAGTCAAGGGGGAAAAGCCATGATCTCCTTAAAAGAAATATAATAGCAAAAATGCAATAAGTTTGAACATTCATCCACAGTAAAACAGTAACACTGACAAAAACATTTATTTTGCACTTATGCAGTAGGCCCTCCCTGATGTGTTTGTTTGCATCTTCTCACTCAGTGGATGACATCATGACCTATCATCTTCATTTCATAGATCAGGTTGCTAAAGCCTAGCAAAGTCAAGAATCTTGCCTCAGGTCACACATACCTAGGAAGAAGATTGCAAATAGCCATTAGTGTTCTTGATGCCTTTGCAAAAAAAGAAGAGGAACAATTTTAGAGCACTTCCATAATATAACAGATACAAGCATCTCAAGTCATGTTATGAATCAACATCACAACAGAAAAGCAGTGGAAATGTTTCCATTAAAATCAACACTAAAAAAAAGTTGTGTCTGAAAAAAAATCAATACAACAATAATATTTACTATTACTGTCATTGCTTAACATTCTTTTTGGGGAAAAAAATGAAGCTAATACAATTAGATAAGACAATCAATAGAATTCCTTGTGCAGTGACCTGTGCCTAGAGTACTAGATCTTCAGGAGGGTGGGGCAAAAGGTTTTCTTGCTCTCAGGAGTCAATGACTAGCCTGGGCCACTGTTTAAAAACAGTGCAATACCCAGGTGGTGGCGGTGCACATCTTTAATCCCAGCACATGGGAGACAGAAGCAGGGGGATCTCTATGAGTTAGAGGCCAGACTGGTCCACAAAGCAGGTTCCAGGACATCCAGGGATGTTAGACAGAGAAACCCTGTCTTGAAAAACAAGCAAACAAACAAAAATGTTGGGGAGGAACCAGTCAGTTACAGTTGTTGCCAAAGAGGTGGTGAGTTGCATGTAATGTGACAATACACTTGAAATCAGGACAGCCAGGGCTGTTATACAGAGAAACCCTGTTTTGAAAAACAAAAAATGTAGCAGAGGAACCAATCAGTTACAAGTGTTGCAAGGGAGATGGAGAGTTGCATGTAAGGTGACGACAATACAGAGAAACAAGTACGAATCCATCAGAAATAGTATGAGAAATTAGAGCGTGTAGAGGTAAGCGCTTTATATCCAAACCTTACCAGGATGAAAAGTTATGGTGGCTGTCTCAATTGTCAATTTGATGAGATCTAGTCACTTGTGAGATGGGCCTTCTGGAATGCCTGTGGGAGATGATCTTAGTTAGGTTGAGGTAGGAAGACCTGCCCACTAAGGGTGACACTATTCCCTGAACTGGGATCCTGACCCCTATAAAAAGGAAAAGGTATAAATAACAATAACAAATTTATTCTTATTTCTTTTTTCTTTTTCATTTTATTTTTAAAAATTAATTTTCATTTCACATACCAACCCCAGTTCCCCCTCCCTCCCATTGTCCCAGTCCCCTCCCTCCTCATCACCCCCCCCCATTCAGTCCTCACAGGGGGCAAAGTGTTCCTTGAGGAGTCAACAAAGTCTGGCTACCAAGCTGAGGCGAGACCAAGCCCCTCCCACCTAGGTCAAAGCTGAGCAAGGTGTCCTACCATGGGGAATGGGCTCCAGAAAGCCTTTTTCTTTATTCTTGCTGACTGCAGATGCAATGTGAATGGCTACTTCGAATTCCTGACTTGACTTCTCAGTTGTGAAGGAGGGTACCTTGAACTGAGACCTCAAATAAACCCCTCTTTACTTCAGTGGTTTTTGTTGCCGGGATAGTTTGTCACAATGACAGAGTTGTAGCTGAGACAGTCTACAAGATTGTTTTTCAGAGAAGACAAGAGGGGAAAACCTGCTCAGAATGTAGGTGATACATTTCTATAGGCAATTTTGTCACTTCTTTAAGGGAATACTAAGCTGTAGCTAAAAGTAACTAAAAATGGGCCCATTAACTGCATATTTAAGACAGATTAGTAAACTGAAATATGTAAGGCATAAGGAGATCCCAGTTTATGTTTTTAAAAGACACAACATGCTAGTATGCGGATAGCTGACACACCTGTACCCTTTTCATGAGTAGTTGTTTGGGATGGCAAAGGAAGAGGAGAATATGAAGGGATTTCTCTGCATTATTGTATGTAATTGTAAATTTTAGTTATTTAAAATGTTGCCACATACTACTTTCATCATCAGAAAAAGAAAATTCATGTTATAAATTAGACCTCACCGTACTCTCTTACCTTTGTTTTTGTTTTGGGTTTTTTTCTGTGTTTTTTTAATTTTGTGGTTGGAGATTGAACCCAGGGTTTCAAGCTGCTCTGCTGTGGAGCCCCTGTGGTTTGAAAGGGGTGTCCCCTATTGTCTGGGGCCTTTGAGCACTTGGTCTCCAGTTAGTGGTGCTGATTGGGAGACTGAGGAGGTGTGGCCTTGCTGGAGGAAATAGGTCACTGGGTGCTGGTTTGAGGTTTAAAAGCCATGTGTCATTCCCAGTTTACTCTCTGCTTCCTGTTTGCAGTTTGAGATGTGAGCTTTAACTGTTCTGCTACTGTGTCTACAGCCTGGTGCATGATCCCCTGCCACGATGAACTCTTGCCTCTCTAGAACATAACCCCTGCCTCCCACTTCTGCAATAAATAAACTTTTGGGGTTTTTGTTTGTTTGTTTTTGTTTTTTTTGTTTTTTTTGTTTTTGCTTCTGTAGGTTGCCTCTGTGGTGTTTTATCACAGCAACAGAAAAGACACAAATCCAGGCACATCAAGTCTGAGTTTTAGAATCTCTCTTACCAGAAAGGCTACAATGACCTTGGTTTTCTAAAATTCAGCTTTCTGACAAGATCCTATATAGAAAGCTGATAACCATTAAGACCTTCTGACAGTGTGTCCCCCTCAGACCCTGATAATCTTTACACTCAGTAAAGTGGAGCACCCAGTTCTTCTAATGCCCAAGAGGCCACGCTTGAGGGCAGGGGAACAGGATGGCTGGTAGCAGGTACGCTAGCTAATGGCCTTGAGAGAAGGTTTCACAGAGTTATTAGAAAAAAAAAACATTGAAGGACACACACACACACACACACACATCCACACACCAATATGGGGTCACTTAATATAAAAATAAATCATCTTACATGTCTCTAACCTCAGAGGTCATCTTTCTATTACAAGACAGTGTGATAAACTATCCTTTTAAAAACCAGGTAGAAGTTTTTGAATTATGTCCATTGTTTAAGAACCCCAGGAAGGGTGTGATTCATTTGACTTAACTTTCAATCTGAAATGGTAAAAATTAAAAGTTTAAGGCTCAGAATCAAAAGGAATTCTTGGTTTGTGGGAAATTTCCACTGATTTCCTCGCTATCCAGGGGTTCTGGTTAATTAAGATTTTTCTCTCTTTTCTTTCCTTCCTAGAATATTTAATCAAGGCCACCCACAGCCTAGAGTTGAAAAAGTCCCCAGCTGAGTGATTTACTCACCAACAAAGCAAACAGGGAAGACACCATCCTGGGGGTGGGAGCTAGATGTAGGTTCACTGGCAGCCCCTCCCCTGAGAACTGCCAGGAGGAGGCTGGAAACAGGGGCTCCCCCTGGAAGCTCTATGCCCCGCCCCCCACAACTCTCCTCCTCCAGCTAAGCCCAGAAGTGATTGGTTAGGTCATAAAATAAATAATGCTTATGAAGCCCGATTACCGTGGAACGCAAAGCAATTATGAAAATCACGAAGAGAAAGATCGACTTCTTAACTTCAGGAATGGCGGGACAACGTGAGGATGCGCAGGCTTGCAGAACTCATTGTTTCCTGGCAATCCAGCCTGCCATAACCATCTCCGTTCAAGGAGGGGAGGAAGGAGAAACAGAAGGGAGGGAGGAAAGGAGGTGGAGGGGAAGGAGAAGAGGGAGACTGCTGTCCATGAGAATGTGTCTATCTGCAATAGACCCACTCAGAGGGGACCAGAGCCCCAAGGGTGCTGTTGCTCCATCAGGCCAAAATGTCCGCGTTACCACCCCCATTCTCTCCAAAGCGCTAGAAGTAAGATGTGGAGTCCAGAGTAAGGCTGAAATTTCACGGACCACTTACATTTTACACTCTCCCCACTTCTACCCCACCCCCCTTTTCAAAAAGCTGGTAACCAGCATGAAAGACATTGTGGTTGGTATCCGTATAACTAAAATACAGCTTCGTTTCTGCCCATGGAAATATGTAGTCAATTAGCTATAATGTGGTCCAGACTCCCTTTGATATTCTAAAATAAAAACATTCCAAGTTATTTACTGGAGAGGAGTCCTTTCTAAGCACTCCCAGTAGCTGCTGTTTTCAATAATTGCTGCTTTTAGTGGGTGTGGGGCATTCTGGGTGGACTGGTGTGTGTAACTCAAAGGTCTCCACTGTTATCTCTGGATTTAAAATAATAACCACAAGAGTTTGCTCTGAGATACTAGTACTGAAGTTCATTCACAGATATGAAACGGTTTTTGTATGCCTTTCTCCTTTCGGGCCAGAGGAGAAGGGAAGAGAGTGAGCACGGAAGCAAGAGGCTGGGAAACCCTTCCACCTTCCCCTAGAGATCGTGCTCCAAGGACTGGCCAGGGAGTCGCCCTTAATGTGGCCTTGTCTCAAAAGCGGTTCCCAAATCCTTGTTCTTGGACACGGTGGGGCCGGGTGCCTGTGGATCTCGCGGGGGAACATTAATTGCAAAAGGCAAGCAAAGCACAACAGCTGGCTTCCGGCTGATTGGAGGGGGTGCTGCAGGACCCTGAGTCTTAGCCTACCAGACTCGATGCTGTCTCGATCTGCTTTACGTTGCTGTAATAGGATACCTACAACTAAGCCATTTACTAAAACCACAGATTCTTTCTTACAGGTCTAGAGGTTGGAAAGTTCAAGGCTGAGGGACCTGCATCTTCCATGGGCTGTATCATCATCCCACAGTAGAAGGTAGAGGGCAAGGTTGCGGGCAGAGATGTGCATCCAAGATAGAAGCGGGGGCGGAGCAAAGGGAGTCGGGCTCATCCTTTAAAGAAGATGCGTCTGTGACGTCAGCCCACTCTCATATTAACTATTAATTCATTCATGAAGGAAGGTGGAGCCCTGGTGAGCTGCTCCCCTCTTGAAGGACTTCTCTCGGCGGCACGTGGAGTCATGGGGATTAAGTCTCCAACACAAGGAAGTTCACATCCTGTGTGGCACCCTTGGAAGCCATGGTTCTCATCTATGGTGATCTCTTTGGGGTGATCTCTTTGGGGTGCCTGCTGTGTGTGACACCAAGCAAAACCAAATGGTTCCTCCAAGCGGCCCGTTGACTATGTATGAAAGGATGACTTCTCTTGCTTGTTCATTAGGTTATTTGGTCTTTGAAATCAGACTTTGCTGTATTTGGGTTGACCTTGAACTCTTCTGCTCCTTGGCTGCTGCGATTCTATCATTAAGTCCCGCATCAAAAGATCGTCTTCCGCATCAAATGAGATTAGACATCTAGAGTGTTTGTCTGTGTTCATTCCAGAAGGTCAGCTAAAGCAGATATTTAAAATGTAGTGGTGTTTGTGCTAAATGGCTAGGAAAACAAACAAACCAAGCAAAAAGAGCCAGACTCTAGACTGTCCAGAATGTTCATCACTGGAGAGATAAGGTACAAACAGAACGGCATGAAGCCTGCCTATAACCTGGACTACATGACATAGTGTCTCATAGTAAATGAAGAAGTAAATAAGGCAGAGATACAGAGTATACAGAATATATGCCCATTCCATCAGCCCATGGGGCCATCTGAAAAACAGACCAGGTTCTAGGCCATAAATCAAGACTTACCAAATACAAAATAATTGAAATAATTTATGTATCTTTATCAGATCACAGTGCAATGCAACTATAAATTAACAGCAAGCAGAAACTACACAGACATAGAGATTGAAAAATAGAAGACCAGTGGGTCACTGAGGGAATTGTGAAAGAAATTTAAATTTAAAACTTACTAGAATGAAATGAACATAAAAGCACAATTCACCAGATCATTCAGACATAGCTATAGAGGTTACTTTTGGCTAAAATTTTATTTATTTATTTTTTATTTTTAGTTCTGTGCCCAGTTCTTTACTCTTTAGAACAATTACTTATTCTTTCTCTTACACACACATATAAATATATATATTCACATATACATAGTTATGTGCCAGTAATTACACTGGGGAGGACTATGGCTCTCCTCTCCCCTGTAGCCATTGGCTATTTAGGGTTCCCCTGAGAAGGGCTTTACGAGTCCTGCCCCCATCCATGATGGGATGCTGATGAGCTCAGTCTTTTTTTTTTTCCCAAGCCTAACAGATCCAGCTTTATTAAAGATATTCTCCATAAGCAATCATGGTATTTCAGGCAGGACATAGACAGACAATCATTAACAGTTTACAAGAACTTCCAAACTCCCTTCTTGTATGGACTACCAAAATCAGAAAGCCACTATAAAACCCGGTCTTCATTCAATGCTTTGAAAAGGAGAAGAGCTTAGAGTAAGGGTTGACATTTCACATTAAGGATGTTGTTTAACAACTTTTCACAAGCTGACCTTGACTTTCAGGAAATGAAATGAAAACTGCAAGAATATCAATCTGAAGATCCACAATCTTGTATATAAAAGGAACTGCTGCTCTTTTGAGGTTATCATTTTCACCGCAAAGTCCAGATTGCCCAATAGACCAGCAAAACCAATTTTAGGGGGTCAGGTTCCAACAGGTTTTAAGGGAGTTAAGTATATATTGATGGTACAGGGGGAAGAGGCTATAAAAATGAATTTAGAGTTTTCCCACACAAGGCATTCTGTGCCATGGTGGCCACGTATGTCAACACCAGGACGTCTCTTCTGAGCCAAGAGGAGACTTTCTAAATTGTCAGGGAAAGACGTTTTCCATCACTATTATCAATCCATCTTAGGAGACATTTGTGAGTGACACATGTTCCTTACCTCCAAAACAATGAAGTGTTCTGTGTGCTAACAACACAGCTTAAAAAAAAAGTAAAACAAAATTCTGCATTTTTATAAAACTTGGTAAAAAATAGTATTTCAAACTGTACAGTCACCAGAAGTACACAGTTATCAAAAATGCACACACTTCACGTGGCATCTCCAGCACCTTCAGCTTTTTGTGCCTGGTCTGTGTTGGCGTCTCCATTTTCTGCAGGATTATTTGCATCCTTGCCAGCATCCGCTGTCCCCTTCTTTCCCCGGGTACCTTCCCTCCGTCTTTGCAGGGGCTTCTTTAGGTTTGGGCTCCGGCTTTGGAGGAGCAGGTTTAGCAGACAACCTTGCAGATCTTCTCTGTGGCTCTAACTCCTTTAGTACCCCCTTCAGCCTTTCTTTTGGGTATGCCGGCGGCAGGGGGCACGTCGGGGATGCAGCGGTGCGCTGGGGTCGGGGATGCAGAGGTGCACTAGTTTGGTCGGGGGGGTGTCGTTTTCGCTGCTTCTTCCGATGGGCTCAGTCTTGTTCAGGTCCTGCAAGGTGGCCACTGCTGTGGTGAGTTCTTGGGACAACAGCAACATCATGTCTGGGAGACATCATTTGCAGCTCTTGTTCCTAGCCTTCAGCTCTTCAATTCTTTCTGCTGCTGCTTCTTCCATGAAAGCTCTACAGGCTGGGAAGGAGGGTGTGGATGTCTCCATGCAGGACCCAGCAGATGACAGTCACTTTTCTTAGCACGTTGACCAGTCATGGATCTCTGTATTAATCACCATCCACTGCAAGCGGGGCTCCTCTGATGGAGGCTGAGAGCAGCATGCTTTATGGGTATAAGCACAAATATGTGGAAGGCATCGTCACTGGGCTTTTTTGGTTGATGCCCCTCCCCAATTTCTCTGCCGTACCCTTTACTCCCAATGCTCTCTGTTCTACTTTCATACCCCTGTGTTCTACTGCCCTTCTTGGTGCCTTTTCCATAAAATGTCCTTTTTTCCCTATTTCATGGACCCCTCTTCTGGTTTTCTGGCATTTATCCTCATTACTTCCATCTAGGTATACATATTTAATAATTAGAAGCTAAGAGCTCTATATAAAGGAGGTCATACAGTATTTGTCTCCCCAAGCTTGGGTTATCTTTGCTTAGTATGTTTTCAGCTTCCGTCATTTCCCCTGTGTTTGTTTTTGTGTTAGCCTGACACAGGCTAGGGTCATCTGGGAAAAGGGAACAGCAGTTGAGAAAATGCCTCCATTACTGTGTCTGCCTGCATTGGCCATGCTCCCCACCACGATGATAACAGATCAAACCTCTGATACTATAAGCTAGCCACTCCGACTAAATGTTTTCTTTGTAAGAGTTGCCGTGGTCATGGCATCTCTTCAAAGCAACAAAAACCTGAATGACAAACTGTAAGTGCTTACATCATGGACTCAGAAAGACCTCAGATAAATAACCTAGTGATGTCCCTCAAAGGCTTAGAGAAACAAGAACCATCCAAACTCAAAAGCAGTAGCAAGAAATAACAAAGATAAGGGGAAACTACAGGACACAGAGGTGCATTCAAGGTTGTCTTGATCTATACAGTGAATTGCAGGTCAGTCAGGGCTACATAATGAGACCCTATGGTCTGGGATGGAGGTGGAGGGTGGGGTGGTGCAGAAATTACTTAAATAGAAGCATGCAAACAAAAGCCATAGAATTAGTCACATAAAGAGTTGTTTCTTTGAAAGCATAAATAAAATTGACAAGCTCCATAAAAACTAAATTAACCACAAGAAGAAAAAAAGAGTCAATTAATGAAATTAAAGATGAGGGTTGCAGAGATGTCTCAGGGGATGAAGTGCTGTGTAAGTGTTTGTATCCCCAGCACCCCATGCCAGGCAGGGGTGACATCCCACCTGAAATTCTCTGCCTTCTGAGGGCTCAGAATTCAGGTGGGATGTCACCCCTGCCTGGCATGGAACTAAACTAGACAAATCAGTAAGCTAAATGCTCAGCAATAGACTTTTCTTTAGTAAATAAAGCAGAGAGGAAATAAATCATTAGAGTACTTTATAGTCTAAAAAGCTGGAAAAATCTAGAAGGAAGGAGTGAATACCAAGACATACATGACCATACCAAAATCAAATCAAGATGAATATAATAGATCTATAATAATCAAAGAAATTGGCAACTCTACTTTTTTTTGCTTGTTTTTTGAGACAGGGTTTCCCTGTGTAGCCCTGACTGTCATAGAACACCCTCTGTACACCACACGTTGGCCTTGAACTCAGCGATCCACCTGGCTCTGCCTTCCAAGTGCTGGGATTAAAGGTGTGCCCCACCATAAGCAGCCAATGAGACTGAAGCAGGAAAAAAAGATCTTCCAACAAAGAAAAGCCAGCGTCAGACAGGTTCACTAGCATATCAAACTAAGTCTTTGAAAAAGAGCTAACACCAATGCTCTTATGCATAAAATAGAGTAGAGGCACATCACCAAATCCATTCTATGGAGCCATAGCTACCCTGGTACCCAAACTGAATAAAATCCCAACAACAACAACAAAAAAAAAAAAAGAAAACTGAAGACCGATGTTCCTGGTGAACACAGACACAAGAATTTTCAATAAAATTCCTTCCGAGCCAATTCAAGAACATATTAAGAAGATCACACACCAAGATCAAGTTGGTTTTACTCCAGGGATGTAAGATTGTCCTTGGAATACAGAACGTATATAGGTTTTAGGGAAAAGTCCATGATTACCTCACTCTACAGAGAGAAGGCCCCTGACAAAACTCAACACCCCTTCATGAGGAAAACCCTGGAGAAAGGAGTAGAAGGAGCACACCTCAATACAATAAAGGCCATATATGACAAATCCATGGTCAGTGTTAGACTGAGGGAAAACTGAGGGCGCTTCTTCTAAAATCTGAATGCAAAGAAGGATGCTTACTGTCTGCTCTTAGCCAATATAGTAACTCAAAACTTTAGCCAGGTCAATGAGGCACGAGAAGAGGGCGGGGGCGGAGGACCCAGGGGTAAAACCCAGGAAGGTTGGGGCCAGCTTATCGCTATTTACTGCTGGCACGATATTGTATCTAGACACCGGGAACCACTAGAACACTCTACAAACACCTTCAACAAACTAGCAGGGAACAAATTCAACACACAGAAATGAGTAGCTGTGTCACTTGCAAAGAAGGAAGTGCAGACAACCCCTTAATAACTGCTTTAAGAAATCAAACCTACAACCTAGGAATAAGCTTAACCAAAGAAGTGAAAGATCTCTGAAGCGAAAACTTTAAGACAACAACAAAGGCACTTTAAGTAAAGACACTGGAAGATGGGCAAGGCTTTCCACACTCAAGGACTGGTAGAATCGGTGTCGTGGATATGGCTATAGAACGAAAGTAGGCAGATTCAGTGCTAGGTCGACACACCCCAGGGATACTTGCAGATCCATATGTGTTGCTGCTGTATTCACAAAAGCCGGAAAGTGGAAAGTTGATGCCCGCCAACAGCAAATGGATACAAACAATGGTATCCATGCACAGTGTAATCTTATTTAGCTGTGAAAAGAAATGAAATCATGATGTTTGCAGGAAAATGATTGGAAATAAGATTGAGAAAGGCAGATACTGCATGTCCTCTCCCCCCCTGTCTCTCTGTCTCTGTCTCTGTCTGTCTGTCTGTCTGTCTGTCTGTCTCTCTCTCTCTCTCTCTCTCTCTCTCTCTCTCTCTGCCTCTCTTTTTGTTTTTTTAGCTGGATTTCTTTGTGTAGCTTTGGCTGTCCTGGATCTCTCTCTCTGTAGTCCAGGCTGGCCTTGAACTCACAGAGATCCTACTGCCTCTGCCTCCCTAGTGCTGGGACTAAAGTGCAGGCGCCACCGCCGCCGGACATGCTATCTTTCTTATGTGGTGCCTATGTTTAAAATTGTGCAGGTGCGTGTGAGCTCATGCAGGTGTGTCTGAAACTAGAAAGAGGCTCATACCAAAGCAGGGGAAGAAGAGCTTTTAAAGGGGTGGCCTGGGGGAAAGGAGAGGGTAATGGAACTCATATGACCCTCTTGTAACTACCAAAGCCAAAGTCAGTTTTTCTAAACTCACCAGCATTTGACAGGAGTCGATTTCTTGGAAAAACCAGCGGAGACTGGGGTAATCTAGGGAGGATCAGGCAGCATGTTCGGAGGCCAGCCAGACCTCAGAATGTAAGTCATTCCGTTCCATCCAATTATGGAGTGTGATTGAGACGGTGAAAAGGCACGGATGAAAATTATCCAAGTGTCATGGAGGGACATGGCCCAGCTGTCTCTGGAGGCTCTGCCCCCCTGATTCTGGTCAGCGCTCATCAGTGGCAGGCCCTGGCTCTGGAAGGAACAGCTCTGCCCCCCTGATTCTGGTCAGCGCTCATCAGTGGCAGGCCTCGGCTCTGGAAGGAACAGCCTGTCTCCTTGGGACAGAGGCCTGAGATTTTCCAAAGCTCTTTATTGCATCTTTTGGTTTTGGTACAGCCTCCATTGGCTCAGAGACCATAACACTGAAGGAGAGAAGGGTGTAACTTGCCCACAGAGCCTCCAGTTGTATGCACTGGACTGTAAGGCAACTGGAAATGATCAGAGCAGGGAGCCAGGGAACATGGGAGGGGCAGGATCATGACGCTGGTTTTCCTGGTGCGCCTCCTCATCTGTTAGTTCTGGAAGGGGCTGGCTTCTGGAATTCAGCTGAGCAGCGAGAATCTTTTCCTGTTTCTCCTTGGTTCCGTGTGTTAACTGAGGATTCCCACACAGACTGCCTCAGACCTTGAGCCAACTTTGTAGTTGGCAAATGGGTTTCTGCCTGGTTTGGGCCAGGAAGGGGGACCTCAGGAAGGGGAAGGCTCCTCGGTGGAGGATCTGAGGTGTCCTCGATGAAGCTGTGTCTAAGCTGACCAGCTCGAAGATGTGTTTACTTCGACAAGAGCCACCTAGCAGTTAGATAGTCAACAAAATCTCTGGAATGTGCTGAGGTAACTGTGGAGACATGTACATGTGTATGAATTCTCCATGTGCATGTGTGCACATACAGACCAGCTACTGTGTTCATTTCTCCCTGTGTGTCTCGCCCTACTGGTTTTCACATAAAACTAAAAACCACCAGGTTGGCACGATGAAAATGTCTCAGGTCGTCTCACAGTTTGCAACTTGGTTCCGCAGCATGGTGGGACCTTCCAGGGGGGTCATCATGGACCCGGGGCTTAGTCCTTAATTCATAGGATCGACCAGATACAAATCTCTTGAGATGATTCATTTCCAAAATGCCCCATTCTCATATTTAGATATTGTTTTTCAATGCTAATTACCAGTGGGAGAAAGCGAGATATAACATCAATTTGTGGATGCTCTGTGAATGTACAGGTCAGGGAAAAAGGAAGTAAGATCGTTGTGCGGTGGTGGTTTACACCTTTAATCCCAGTACTGGAAAGGCAGAGGCAGTAGGATCTCTGTGAGTTCAAGTCCAGCCTGAACTACAAATCAAGTTCCAGGTTAGCTGGGGCGGTTACACAGAGAAACCCTGTCTCAAATAAATAAATAAATAAATAAATAAATAAATAAATAAAGAAGTAAGATCAACATTATTTATTAGTTTATTGTTTATTATAGTCCAAGCTGATCTCAGATTCTCTATTCTCCAGCCTCAGACTTCAGAGTGCTGGGCTTACTGGGATACACCACCACCCCTGCCTGGCTTCTAGTATTGTGTAAGAACGATCTCCTTGCTCTAAATGCTTTGCTGTTCTCTCAGCCAGACAACCAGGAGCGTTCTCACTGGGGTTCCTGGCACGGGGCACGCAGAGCAACGCTGGCTTCAGAGCGTGTCCTCCCTGGGTCTTTAGGTAAGTCCTCCCGCAACAGTAGGCAGTCATCCCTGAAGGAGGAGAAAAACAAGCGAGCAAACAAAATGAATCTAGCCAAAGCTCCGCCCTTGCAAGAAGGTTGAAAACCTGGTTGGGCCCAGTACCCTGCCTGGATCCAAACGGAGTCTGCTGTCATTCAATGAGTCAGGAAACCGCCTCTTGCCCAGGGACCCACATTTGCAAGACTTAAGTTGGGTTCTAGGGTACCAGAGAAGCTGGAGCACCGAGGAAGTCCCGCCCCCGAGCCCAGACATGAGGCCTGCCTTAGACTGAGACGGACTGCAGTAACCAAAGGCTGTCCACCGAGACTTTAACACGGGGTAACACAGCAGCCTGTGCTGAGAAAATCCCTTCTAAGAGGATCAAGGACAAGGTACCAGCAGCTGAGTAATTTCAATTCTTTGTTGCGCTGAAGATAACTAGCAACTACAAAACCCAAGCCAAGCTTTACTCTGGATAGACTGACCACACCTCCTACACAGTAGTTTCAGGGCAGTAAAGTGCGGTTCTTCCCTCCTCCCTCCCCCCTATCCCGGCCCTTCCCCCCCCCCTTCCTTTCGAGGCTGGGTCTTGCAATGTAGTCTAGATTGACCTGGAACTTATAAGTGTCACCATGTATCCAAAGCTGACCTGAAACTCATGATCCTCCTGCCTCAGCCTCTAAGTGCTGACAGGGATTGTAGGCATGTGCTACTCCACACAAGAGGCGTGTCCGTTTCTAGTCGAAATATCCTTTACAACAGTTCCTGCTATTGTTTCACCAGAGAGCAAGAGAGAGGCATGTGTGCAACGAAATGGACGACTCAATGTTAAAAGACAAAACACTCAACGGAATGAAAGCAGAGGAGTGACCCGCATGTGCGCATTATCAGGCAGTCGACTTGGAAGTGACTATGAGTTCTATATTAAGAGATCTTGCATCGATAGGAGGATGAGTACATGGAGAATGTCAGATGGTAGACGAAGACTCTAAAAGAATCAAGGAGGAAAGCTAGGACTTAAAAAGCATGCTGTCATAAAGAATCCTTCAACAGACTGTCAACAGAGGATGAATAAACACAATTAACTCAACTGAAATACAATGTGAGGAGACAGGGAAAATAATAAAATACAGCAGGAAGAGATACAGAAGGGTATCAAGCAGCTATATACATGAAGTCAGAGAGAAGAGAAATTTGAAGAGGTAACTGCTAAGAATTGCTAATGTGATTGGAGAAAAGTCACAACTCCAAGGAGCTCAGAGAGATGGAGGCTGGGATGTGTGGGGAAGAGACTAAATTGTTGAAAGCCCGTAGTGAAGAAGCTTGAAGGTAACCAGGGATGGCAGAACCACAATATCAAAGCAAGCTAAAACTGTAAAACATTACACACAGAAGAACAAAGACTGACAGTAGATTTCTTTTTCTTTTTTTGTTTTTTGTTTTTGTTTTTCAAGACAGGGTTTCTCTGTGACTTTGGAGTCTGTCCTGAAGCTCGCTCTGTAGACCAGGCTGGCCTCAAACTCACAGAGATCAGCCTGTCTCTGCCTTCCAAGTGCTGGGACTAAAGTTGTGTGCCACCAGTGCCCGGCTGACAGTAGATTTCTTGTGAGAAACAGTTCATGCAAGAAAACAATGGAAAATTATTTTCAAAATAGTAAAAAATAAAATTGTGAACTTCAAATTTTATACTTGAAAATACTTATAAAAAATGAAGCTGAAATGAAATCTGTTTCACACACGTTGGTCAAGTTGGTCAAGCATACTCAAGGCTGTGGGTTCAGTTTCCAGCAGTGGGAAGAAAAGCCAGGCACACAAAATCTGAGATGATTTATTTAGCAAGCCTAAAATACAAGAGATATTAAAAGAAAACTTTCAGGACTGGTGAGATGGCTCACTTGGTTAGGTGCTGACTACACAGCTATGATGACTTCAGTTCGGGTCTCCAGCATTCCTATCAAAATGCTGGGCACAGCAGTGTGCCTGTGACCCCACGGACTGGGAAAGGGGACATAGAACAGCCCTGGGGCTTGTTGATCAGCCAGACTAGCTAAATGGGTGAACTCCAGGTTCAGTGAGAGACCCTGCCTCAAGAAATAAGGTGGAGGCCAGGCATTGGTGGCTCACACCTTTAATCCCAGCACTCGGGAGGCAGAGACAGGCAAATCTCTGTGAATTTGAGGCCAGCCTGGTCTACAGAGTAAGTTCCAGGACAGGCTCCAAAATAATACAGAGAAAAACTGAGAGAGAGAGAGAGAGAGAGAGAGAGACAGAGACAGACAGAGAGAGAGAGAGAGAGAGAGAGAGAGAGAGAGAGAGAGAGAGAGAGAGAGAGAGAAGAGAAAGAACAACAAAATATGGGGAGCAATTGAGAAGAGACCCAACACCAACTTCTGTCTTCTGCATGTTGTGCCCAAATTCTGAACCCCCAAATCACCAAGCAGAAAGTCTTTTATTATTAATGAGTTAACTGCATTAACTTGGGCTCTTCATCTGTCCAACACAGCTGCTGGTATGAAAAGGACCCCGAGAAACTGAGAGGCTAGGAACCTATTGGGCAGTGTAAGGGGAGTGTGGGGCCAGCAGCAGTCTCAGGATTGGTGCGCTTCCGGGTTTGGGTGACCTGTCCTGTGTTGATTGGTCAACTGGTTGTTATGACCTAGAGGTCTTCCCAGGGCTGTTGCTATGCTCTGCACAGCACTGTTACACCACTTTTACGTAAAGCACTGTAAAGCATGTCAACTAACTTCTGATTGGTTCCTTGCCATGTGACCTAGGGCCTGGCAAGGTCAGAAGGCCAGAAACTAAGCACGTGTGCTGAGTCAGGGGCCTTTGTCTTTCTGGGTCTTTTCTGCAAAAGCAGCGGGGAGGGCGGGGGGATGGGGGGTTGGGGGGGGTCTGGTCCCTTTGTGTATGCACGTGTACCTCATGCACACCTGTACACACATACACACACAGAGAGAGAGAGAGAGAGAGAGAGAGAGAGAGAGAGAGAGAGAGAGAGAGAGAGAGAGATGCTTTAGTTTTGGGGGGTGAGTATAATGCCAGAGATAAATTTGAACCTTCACAAAGAAATGAATGAAGACATCTAAAAAGTAGTGCAGATGAATAGATTACAAGCCTGTTGCCCATCTCGACTTCAGCAGGGTTGCTTTTGTTCAGTTTGAGCCTCTGGCTCGCCCCCTGCACAGTCCAGAAAGCCCCATTCCTGTCTCTCTCCAAACCCTGTCTTAGAGAGTCTCCAAACAAAGGAAAGTCACCAAAGCCCAATTCCACTTCCTTGGCACCTCGCCTATAATCTATAAAACTTTCCTGCCCTGGCTTGGGTGCTTGACTTCTCTGGCCTCAGTCTGCGAAATGGACTCTCTGGTGAGTTTCTTTGGTCAATAAACCCGTTGCTATACTTTTTCAATGCAGCTTGATCTGGCTTACTGAATTGGGGGAGGAGGAGAAACATTATGGGGGGGGCAGAAAACCTATCAACTTTCACTATGTTAGATTAGTTTTTGTTTGTTTGTTTTTTGTTAGTTTTATGAATTATATTTTTTGGCTCTACTTTAAGTTCTCAAACATTTTGGAGATATGGATCTGCTAATATTGGGGGTGTTCATGTTTTATATGTGTGTGTGTGAATGCACTCGTGTGCACACTTGTGCACATATGTACATATTTATAAGTGTACTTCACAACGGGGCATTCCAACAAATAACTAATAACCCTTTTTTTTCAAGTTAATGTAACCCAAAATTTCATATGGTCAACTCATTCAAGCTGTAATGTCCCAGCGGGAAGAAAGATGCTCTAAAGAGGGCCGCTTGTTCTTCCTTCATGGAGACAATAGGCCCCAAGGAATTTGAATTTCTCCGGGGGTCGGGGGTTGTCTCATGCTGGGGAAGGGAAAGACTGGGGTCCTCATACAAGCCAGGGAATGCTGACATCTTGCAGGGCAGATCAGGAGTTAGAAAAGAATGGTGTGTCAGGGATTGAAGAGACCACACCTAGTCTGGGAATGCTTAGTGATACACACCTCTATTTAAGTCTAAATCTCAGCTCAGGACCCTGAGGATGGGTTTTGGGATTACTGAACCTCTTTATTTGTTCCTCTTCCCAATGTGACAACATTAAATAAATGTCCCTTTTCTGTTTTTCACTATTACTTATCTCTCTAATTGGTGTATTGAAGACAAAGAAGCCCAACCTACCTTGTCAGGGTGGTCAAAGCCTAGACTTTGACCCTAAAAAAAAAATCTCCATTTATATCATACACACTTGCATGCACACACACACACACACACACACACACACACACACGTATGGAAATGCCCATACATGAACTTTGAAAGCCTAGAGACCCATAAGCAAAACAGTTTATACACAGACCTGTTTATCCATGCTTACCTTTCTAGTCAGTTCTATGCTAGGGCCTAGGGATAATAAACCAAGATCAATATCTGACTTAAGAAGTTTATGATTGCCACATGCCTTTAATCTCAGCACTGAGGAGACAGAGACAGGCAGAGATCTGAGTTCAAAGGCAGCCTATTCTGCAGAATGAGTTCCAGGACATCCAGGGGTACACAGAGAAACCCTGTATAAAAAAAAAAACAAAGAAAATGAAAGTTCATGATCTAATGGGAGTTAAAACTAATAATAATAATAATGATGATGATGATAATAATAGTTCAATACATTCAGAACCAATGAAGAACTAACCTACCTCCATTTTAGGCTTAAGAGCATCTTACGGTAAGTTCATTCCTATTTTATGATTAAATGTCTTTCTCAAGGATTGGACTATGCCCCACCTGTGACCTTAACTACAGATGGCTCTTCACTGCCTGTTTCAGGAAACCATGACTTTGTTTCAAATAGGTGTTATAATCATCTTGCAACCCTACCTTTGTTTCAAAAGGTAATATGACCACCTATGACTGCCTGCATTTATGGCTGTCTGCTGTTATGACTGCCTTGTGATGTCCACCTTGCAGTCATCTTTTTATTTCAGGGGGGGACTAACTTGTTACGCTTGTGTTTTGCTCCTGTACCCCGTCTACTTCTTTGCCCATCAAACCCCCCATTTGGAAACTTCTACCCCTGAGCTATAAAAGCCTAGTATTCCTCACATCCAGGGCTGACCCCTGGAACTCTACTTTAGGGGGAGGCAGCATGTATAAGTGAATAAAAATTAATTGCCTGCTTTAATTAACTTGGTCATGATAATTTGAGTTGAGGGTTAAGGCCAGATCTATGGCATAGCAGCTGAGTACACCAGATACTGCAGCTGCCTTGAGAAGAGTTGAATCGTTTCTGTCTATGGTACCCTGCTGTCACAGGGAGGAACATTCTTTCCATTGTGATAAGAAGTCTGTGTGTGGTGGAACACACCTCAGGAAGCAGAGATCTGTGTGAGTGAGTCCCAGGCCAGCCATGGATGTATGATGGGGATGTCCTTCTGTGTATATGTTTCTCTTCTTGGTTGATGAATAAAACACTGATTGGCCAATAGCCAGGCAGGAAGCATAGGTAGGGAGACCAGACAAGGAGAAGCCTGGGGACAGGAAGACAGAAAGAGGCCATGAGGAGACGCCATGCTGCCCAAGGAGTAACATGCCGGATTACGGGTAAACCACAGCCTCATGGCAATACATAGATTAACAGAAATGGGTTAATAATTAAGACAGAGCTAGCCAATAAGAAGCCTGAGCCATCGGCCAAACCATTTTATACTTAATATAAGTCTTTGTGTATTTATTTGGGGCCAAGAGGAACCGGGTGGGACAAAAACTCCCGTCTTCAAATGGCTCCCATTACCATCTTCAGACATACAGTGACTGAAAACAGAAAACCAAAATAACAACATAGCCATGTAGTCACATGCAAAATGATGACTGAAGAGGAGTAGGAGCAGAGGAAAGATACCCCCAGGAGGTTTCCAGGGAGTCCGTGGATGAGGTATGGTAGGGTCCAATCTAAAGCAGTGTTAGTGGGAATTTATCCTGAAGACATTTAAAATAAAATTTAAAAAATGGATGAAACTTCCTGAAAAAAATGGAATGGGGGAATGAGGGAGACTATTATCTTGCATCACCACTGATGACATTCAAGGGTCCTTAGGTCCCTTCACCTTCATCACTGTTGGAGTGGTTTTTTTTTTTTTTAAGGTTTCATTCATATTTTAGATTTTTTTGAGACAGGCTTTCTCTGTGTTGTTTTGGAGGCTGTCTTGGAACTCACTCTGTAGACCAGGCTGGCTTCAAACTCACAGAGATCCACCTGCCTCTGCCTCCCAAGTGCTGGGATTAAAGGCGTGCACCACCACCGGCAAGCTAATTTTTTTTTTTTTTTTTTTTTTTTTTGCTTAGTTTCCTAATGTTGCCTGTTGTTCTGATTCGGTGAAATGGAGTTTCTCAGTCTAAGTGGTGTGGATTTGTGTTTCTCGATAGCTGAAGGGGTTGACCTTTTTTTTTTCACGAATTATTGGTAATCTGAGCTTCATTTGAAATGTTTCTGTCCATTTGTTTGCTATTCGTTTATTAGAGTATTGTCATTTTCAGGTTCATTTTTTTTAGTTCTATGTTTTTAAGATCTTTAAATTTAGTTCTATATTTTTATTTTATATTTAGTTCTGTATTTGTCTTCACTCCAGTTTTATGTTTTCATTTTGTTTTCTTTGTGTCCTGAAGCTTTTCAATTTCGTGTGCTCTCAGTGGTCAATCCTTGCTATTATTTCCTGAGCCGTCAGAGTCACTCAGGAAGTCATCGTCGATGGCTGTATCTTGAAGCTCTTCCCTGTGTTTTCCTGTAGTACTTTCAGGGTTTCGCATCTCACGTTAAGGTCTTTGACCCATTTTGAGTTGATTTTTGTGCGGGTCAGAGGGTTCTGGTTCCGATATTGTGAGTAGTCACTTTTCCCAGCACCCGCCTGGTAAGAGACTGTAATTTCCTCAAGGTTTGTTTTGGGCACCCTTATCAGTCATCAGATGGCTGTAGATGGAGCTGTGTCTGGGTCAACTACTCTGCTTCTTTTGTCTGCACATCTGTGACAGAGCAGCACTTTTTTGACTACGGCTCTGTGGTGGGTCAAACCCAGGAATTGTGGTTCCTCCCGCCCTGCTTTGCTCCACCTGCGAACCCCGTTTTAAAGGTCCCCATGCTCCCGTAGGAGTTACAAGACTTTTTTTTCTGGTTCTGTAAAGAATGTTACTGGTGCTGTAATGGGAACTGCACTGGTTCTGAAATCTTTTTCCGTAGGCTGGTGTTGGAACACGGCTGTCATTCATGCACCTCTGTGGAAAACAAAAACAAAAACAAAAACAAATGCTCGGTGGGGCTTGTCTGCCACGTGCAGCTTGTCCTTGTGACTGTATGCTTTACTGGCGACTCTTCTTAACCCTCAGAGTGTAAACCGGCTGATGCTCTGAATGAAGTTGTCTATTGCATGAGACTCTGTTTCCCGCCGCGTGTGTCAGCCGCGTGTGTCAGCCCCGTCCTCCCTGGTCCCACACCTCTAGAGTGGTGAGCAGTATGGCGATCTTAAAGTCTAGACGCTGGTTATCCATGAACACAGGCTGCCTTCCAGGGTCCCACCAAGTCCCTCTTCTGTGAGTCACAGCTTTCCCTGTAGAGGTTTGTCACTTTCTTGGTTAGGTTTGTTCCTATCTGTTCTACGTTTTAGACACTATTGTAAATAAGATTCCGCCCCCGAGTTCTTTCTCAGCATGTCCACAGTTACTATCCCATAAAATAGTTACTGATGGGTTGCTTTCGTATTCTGCTACTTTGTTGAATTTTTGATGTCTGTATTTTGGTGGAGTCTCCGAGTACAGGACTATGCTCCCAGCAAATGAGAATGTCTTCCTTTTTATTTGTATCCTTTTAATCCCCAGTCCCACCCCCAGTACCTTCACCTTAGCTAGCATTTCAAGTACCATGCTGAGTAAAAGCAGTGAGGGTGGACGTCCTTGCCTGTGCTAATGAAAAGTGTTTTTCATTTTCCTCAATTCAGTAGGCCATTGTCTCTGGCTTTGTCCTGTTACTGTATATAGTCTTTCCTATACTGAAATAGGAGACTCCTAGATCTAGTTCCTTCCTTCCTTCCTTCCTTCCTCCCTTCCTCCCTTCCTTCATTCCCTTCCTCTCCCTCCCTCTCTTCCCTCCCTCCCCTCCCTCTTTCTACAGCTTGAACTCAGTATGTAGCTAAGGCCTTGTTAATTTATGTTTAGGTTTTCTGTATCTTCTTAAGTCAATGTTAGTAATGCATGCAGTCCAAAAATGTATTCATTTCTTCTAGATTTTCAACTTATTGAGGTATATATTTTCAAAGTAATTGTTATGGACCTACTGAATTTCCTAGTGCCTGTTATAACATCTCCTTTTTTTTAATCCCTAAGTTTATTCTTGTTATTTGGTTAGTTTGGCTAAGGGCTGACCAACCTTGTTAATCTTGTAGTGTCGGCATTAGCAGCTTTAAATATCCCCAGAACTGCTTTTGATGTATCTCACAGATTCTGATATGCTGTTTTCCATTTTTGTTTGGTTCTAGTTGGTGTTTGTTTGTTTGTTCATTTGGCTGGTTGTTTTTTGAGACAGCAGATCATGTATCTCTGCAGACCTCCAACTCTCTAGATAGCCATGGGTGACTTTGAATACTGATCATCCTACTCCATTCCTGAGTGCTGAGATTACAGGCATGCACTATCAGGCTCAAGTTCTGTGGTGTTGGAGACAGAATCCAAGGTTTCACTTAGCAAGCGCTATACCATGGTATAGCTCCAATCCCTGATTCTAGGATTTTTAGATTTCTCTACTGATTCCTTCAATCACCCATTCAGTTGTGCGTTATCCAGTTTCTATTTGTATAGTTGTTCTGGCTACTAGTTTCTAGTTTCACTTCCTTATAATCTGATAAAGCCAAGAATGATATTTAGATCTTTTTTTGCATTTATTAAGACCTAGAATATGATGTTTTATAGAGAGTTCCACAAACTGCTGGGAAAAGTCTATCCTGCAGTTGTTGGGTGAAATGTTCAATCCACTTGATTTTTATGTACACTGCATTTTAACTCTAAGTTCCCTCTTGACTTTTTGTATCTAGTGACTTGTCTATTGGTGAAAATGAGGTAATGGTGTCACTCTCCATTATTGTAATGGCTCTATTTGTACCTTTATGTTCATTACTGTTTTGAGGCTTTTAATTTTTCTAATTGGATGCATTGACATCTTATACATATATATTTGCAACCAACCAACACACACATATATGGTTTTTTGAAATAGGGCTTTTCCTCTGTGTAGCCCTGACTGTCCTGGAACGCACGCTCTAGATAAGGTTGTCTTTGAACTTACAGAGATCCGCCTGCCTCGCCTCCTGAGTGCTGGAATTAAAAGTGTGCACTACCACTGCCTGACTAAACAACAAGCAGCCATTATATATTCTTGATTAATTGCTTTGCTTTTCAGTACACCCCAGCCTTCTTTGTCTCTTCTGTCTCATTTTTACTTGAAGTCTACCTTGTTGGGTGTGAACTCAGAGGCAGAGGTACAAGCTCTGAACTGCTGAGT